TCCTCGACCGTCTTTCCCTTGGTCTCCACCAGCCTGAACCACAGGTAGATGAAGAAGACGGTACCAACGGCGGCAAACACGATAAAGGCATAGTCGCCCAGGTGCTCGTTGATGATCGGGAAGACCTGACCGATGATAAAGTTGGACAGCCAGTTGACGCAGTTGGCCAGCGACGATGCAGCACCGACAGCCTGGATGGGGAACAGCTCGGGCATCAGCATCCATGGGACGGGGCCGAGACCCATGGCGAAGCTGGCGACAAAGAGGAAGACGCTGGCGACCACGACGATGTTCTGGCCAAAGACGCTTGCGACGACAATGACCACGCTCATCAGGATCAGACCGGCAAGACTGGAAAGCAGCAGCACCTTGCGGCCAGTGCGATCGACCAGTGCGGACGACACAAAGGTCATGACAAAGTTGAGCGCGCCAATGCCGACCGTGACAGCACGTGCAACATCCGAACCAAGTGCCTCGGCAAACATGCTGGTGCTGTAGTAGAAGACGCTGTTGATACCGGTGAGCTGCTGCGAAGCGTGCACAACGATGGCGGTGATGGTGGTGCCGAGCATGTGCGAGCGGAGCAGCTGGAGGATGCCCATGTTCTCGGTGCCCTCCTTGGCGCCCGTGGCAACAATGTCCTCGTCGCCAGAGCTGGTCCTGCTGCCCTGGACGCTGAGGATCTCCTCCATCTCGGAGCGCACATCGTAGCCCTTGCGCAGGCGTGCCAGTGAAGCGTTGGCCTCGTCAATCCGGCCACAAGAGGCCAGGTACGGCGGCGTCTCGACGCAGAACATCGGGAGCAAGATCATCTGCAGGATGGCCGGGATCACGGTGATACCGAAGAGGATACGCCAGCCGGGGGCGTTGCTGAGACCCAGACCGAGCAGCTGGGCAATCAGAATACTGAGAACCACAAAGAGCTGCGGCAGTGTGCCGTAGGCACCGCGGCACTTGAGGGTGGCAACCTCGCCAATGTAGACCGGAGCGACGACCATGCTGACGCCGCAGGCAAGACCGATGATAACACGGCCGGCGATCATCATACCGGACGAGTTGCTGAGGGCAACAAGGACGCCACCGGCGATGAAGACCAGGTTGTTGAAGATCAGGATGGGGCGACGGCCAAAGCGGCTCATAAGCCAGCCAGAGCCGAGACCGCCCACCATGCCGCCGAGACAGAATGCGGCAACGACAAAGCCCCTACGGTGTGTGCGACATTGTCTTGCGTCAGCAATCTGTGCAGGTGCCAGTTCTATGGATCACACATGACCGCACTTACCAGACAGTGGTGGACATGGGAAGGCATGCCGGAAAGGCGCCGCCCGCCGACGGGTCCTTGATGCCTTCGCAGGCACGGATCACCAACTCGGGCGCATTAGGAACACCAATGTTGTAACCGTTGGTGAAGGCCGACAGAGCGGCTACCAAAGCGCAGAACACACTGTAGCTCGTGTAGGTAGCCTCGCGCGAGTCGCGACTGCCGGCAAAGCCTAGCTCTCCACGACCGGACATTATGGCGATGGAGCAGGCAAAAAACTACAAACGAAGGCCAGTAACGAGCACTGTGGGCTTTGTCAGAAGATGAGGAATGTAATCGTGACGATGCGTTACTGTGAGTTATGCAGGCCGTTAACTGGACGCTGGTGAACACAGCAAACTAGCGCGTATGCCTCGCCGTGTTATATAGGCGGCGCAGTCTAGCATGCCTGCACACACACGCACACACACACACAGCGATGCCTCGGCGGATATTGCATTAAGCAGCCGGTGCTGGCACCCGTCAAGTTCCGGCCAAGTGACTCGAGTGTCGCTACGAACCGTCGCAGTCTCTTCGGAATTAATATGCAGCATAAGGTCGGCACAAATTTTTGCTGGCGGACAAGCATGTCGACACCAAGACATTCTAATGCACGGCAAATTTTATGTCCGCTACGCATTGACTATGCGATGACCTAAATGAGGCTAGATAAGTCATAGCGCCATTGCGCGATACTATCAGCTGCATCAATGCGAGCTGCATCGATGCTAGATAGCATGCACAGACGCACGCATGTACGCATGCACGTATACGCGTCCACATGTCTGTCGCGCGCTGTGCAATGGCAACGCCCCACACGTTGCCTGGTGGTTTGTTATCCACCCTGGCCAAAATGGCTAAATACACATGACTGCTTACGTTAGAGGAACCGTCTACGTGGAGAAGCACCCGCAATTACACGGTAACAGACGTGCTGGCTGCGGACTGAGCTCAAAATCCGGTTAATGTAGTTGGCGCAACCAAATTACAAGTGTATTAAGAACACTCGAAGCAGTCACGCTTATGCTGCTAATTATAGTTCTGCCGACGGCCAAAGCTTCTGGCTCACATACTCGTGCACGGTCTCCTCTAGGTTGGCGAGCACCAGCTTGGGGTAGCGGTATTCGAAGCCAGTCTCGCGCACAATCCGCTGGCCGTCCACCGACGTTGGCGGTGCTGAAAAGTACTCCTCTTCCAGGTAGGGGCTGACCGGTGTGTTGTGAATTTGATACTTGGCCAGCATTTCAAGCCAGACCGGAATGGACATCTCGTTAAGTTCCTCACGCAGCGCCATTAGATCCGTCTAAAGCACAGAAACCGTGTGAGGCTATGGGAAATAGACTCAATGCACGCAGCCCAACCTACCACTGCATATGGCTCAATGCCTGTCTGCTCCGCGTGGGGCGCGTCTTTCACGGTGGCGCGCCACTTTGGCTCGCTTTCGGCATAAATTGAGAACATGTCATCAAAGCCTAAATGCACAGCGCGCATGTCAGAGGGACCATGCGCAGGACGAGCGGATCACAGAATACGCCATACTGACGTGAGTCGCTTTCGTCCGAAATGTTGAACACTCTGGGCCCGCTCTGGTTGGTACTGGTATACCACTTGGCCAGATGGTGCATGCCTGCCGCAACATCATACACGTGAACAGAGTTGCGCCGCGGGTTGGTGGTGTGCGGCTGCGTAAGGTGCCATCCCTTGTACCGGATCACCGAGCTTAGAGCCAGGAAGGGGGCTGCGGCAAGCGTTAGCACATTGCCCCGCCCAGAATGCCGTACGTTTGTCCCGCTTACTGGCACGGTGCAAATCCGCCGGGCCGTACACCAGCGACGGCCGAACAACAATGGCATTCAGCCTAGTAACGCGCATGGCGTGCATAAATACGGCGTCGCGGTGACCAAATGGCGTGTCCGACGTACCCAGGCGTTTCCAGCACCTTTTGGTCGGTTTCTAGATGGTATTTGGTGCGAGCGATCTGCGTCTGCGTTGGCGCCGTCTCTCCGCACGGCGGCTATGCTCCCATTGTTTCATGAGTACATCGGACAAAGCGCCCTGCCCTCCTTCACCCCTCCCCCACTTGCCACCCACCTGCACATTGCTAATCTCCTGATAGACACTGCCCGTCGATATTTGCAGAAACACCTTGACATTGCGCTTGGCTGCCTCGTTGGCACAGTTGGTGCCAACCAACATAATGCGCTCGAGGTAGACCTGTGCCAACCAGCACGCGTCAGTGGATGGCGCACATTTGCCAGTCTGGCTGCGCACTCACCTGGTCCACCTGGCCGTAGCGCTCCTCAGTGGAGCAGTTGAATACAAAGTCCCATTCGCTTACACCAGGAGACGGCTCAAAGCACGCAGCCACCGATGCTGTGATGATGATGATGATGATGATGATGACGTCAACAACACTGAAAGACTACTACACACATGTATACACACGCGTGTATGCACACTGCACACTACCGCCAAGAAGCTGCTCATCGCCCACCTGGATTGCGCAGATTCGCCTGGAGAAACTCAGTCTTGGCCAGTGCATCAGCGCAGCGCTGGCTGAGGAACGCCGTCTGGGGTACGCTACGATCCACGACGCGAATGGGATGACAGAGATTGTTTTCTACCAGGTAGGTGACCAGATTGCGACCAACCATACAGAGGCCGCCAAATATCAGTGCAGAAGGCATACTGGGCGGCAAGAGTGTGACGAGACACAAAAACGCGGTTGGATGAGAAGGAGCAGGGCAGACGTAGTATCAATAACAGCAGGAAAGAGGCGTAGCCTAGCTGCGAGGAGAGTGATAACTGCTTGGGGACAGCGAAACACACAGAGTAATTATCTATATATATTACGTTGTCAGAACGGGTGAACAAAAGTGAGCAAGTATCACCACGGCAACCAGGAAAGGCATTGCGCCTTGAGCTAGCGCACGACATCTACCTTTCCGTTTGCGGACCATCACCAATGGCGGCACACGCGCGCGAATAAACTTCCAAAGCGGTACATGCGGTCGCTCATTTCACGTCTTCCATCAGCGCGCGCGGACTGACCGCCGCTTCAGACCGAGTACAGCAACTCCAAACACTAGCACCGCCCGTCCCTCCAAGCAGCGCGCTGTAGCTGTCGTAGAAGCAGGCCTAGACGGCAGGTGTAACAGGGTCCCCAGCGCGCATGCATGTGCACGCGCATCAAGGTGGCGCGTAATTTGTACAGCAGAATGAATCTCATGACTGCGCCTTTGACGCGGACGCGGCAATTTGCTCCCTGCGCGGATACACGCAGGAACTGTCATACATGCAGGCTTGCGCAAACAACACTGGTTGTAAGCACGGATGGCTCATGGCCGTGTTCTGTACCAATGGCCGACACGCAGTACAGCCCAGACGCTGCTCGCCAGAGCTACGTTACCCTGGTCGCGTCCGGCTGTCCTCTGCAAAATGGCAACAGCGGACGCTTAATTCTAATTCCAAATAGCTAAATCTATCCGATGGAGGTGGTTGGCACGCGAAAGACGCGGGTGCCCGCAATGCCCGTGCAAAGCCTAGGCAGCCACACGCCTTGACCGTACAGGCCTACCAAGGCACCCAAAAAAAGTAGCCCCGATACCGGTTACGAAACAGCCGCCGAGTAGACCTTCGATTAATGTAAACGACAGTCACAGAAGCAAAACGACATAAACTACGAAAAGGAAAAGTACAGCGAACCTGCCAGGACTCGAACCTGGAATCTTTCGATCCGAAGTCGAACACCTTATCCATTAGGCCACAGGTCCGTTCGTATAGATAAATTTTGAGTTTGGAGCCGTTACATTATGATCCCTTTTGCAAAAGCGCTGTATTGCGCGGCATTTTCTTTTTACAGCGCGCTTCTTTACTCACGATGCAGATCCCCGCAGCCTGTCGGTCAGAATAGGAGCGCAGCACGCCCGAGAGTCCATAGCAGCCTAGTAAACGCCGGGGTGATGTTCGTTAGTAACAGGAAAAAAGTCAAGGGCAGGCCTAGAGGAGTCCAAGGACCTATAAAAGGCCCGCACCGCCTGTAAAATCTTTCGTCTCCGAGTGTGCATGGCGCTGAGCCTACAAGTCAAGACAGTGGGAATGTGCCGGTTTATGTGAACGCGCACCCGCCAAACAATCACCCGCTAGACCTACAGTATACAGAGAAGCGACATTACAGGCCTATACACTAGGGGGCCGACCAACTGCAGGTACGGCTGCTACATTGTAGGCGTGCCCAGAGCTGGGCTAGGCTGGGCTGGGCTAGTGTCGTATTCACGTTGGTTGCGTGACGACTACTGACCCACTGCTGCATCGGTCAGCTCTCAGCTTCTCTTTTCCCTACACGCCTGCTCACCACTCTCATCAGCGTCGCCCTTCCGTTCAGGCGCTGCTACCACCCTGTTTGTCCATCGCACAGCCACCTATACGTCATGCATCTGTTTGGAAGGGCGCGTAGCAAGCCGAACGCCAAGGAGGCGATCGTGCGTCTGCGCGAGACGCAGCAGATGCTGCAGAAGCGAGAAACGTTCCTGCAAACCAAGATTGACACAGAGCTGAAGCTAGCCAAAGCTAATGCGACCAAGAACAAGCGCGGTAGGCATCGGGAGCGTCTGCGCATTGCAGGCAGCACAGAATTGGCACCATGGGCAGACGCACTGACGGGCGATGGGCTGTACTGGCGTTATAGCGGCGATTGCAGCGCTGAAGCGTAAGAAGCAGTACGAAGGACAGATTGACAAGATCAGCGGCGCACGGATGACCATCGAAACGCAGATGATGGCCATTGAAAGCGCCAATATCAATCTGGAGACGATGAACGCGATGAAGTCGGGTGCGCAGGCCATCAAGGAGATTCACGGATCCATGTACGTAGTCGGCGAGGGCAATTCAGCTAGATATATGAGTATGACTGTGGGCGCACACTTGGTGCACTAACAATGGGTGTGGTCAACGTATACTTGCTATAGGAGCATCGAACAGGTGGACAAGACGATGGACGATATTCGCGATCAGATGGATCTTGCCGACGAAATTTCGAACGCCATTGCGCAACCGCTGGCATTTGGTGCCGAGATAGACGAGGTGCGTGAGCGACTCATCGGTGGCTAGTTGGCGGTCCATCTGTAATGCTATAGCTGACTATGCGAAACGGCCATAATGGCATCCTGTCTTGGGCGCTGCTTTATCCAGGATGAGTTGAATGCCGAGCTAGAGGAATTGGAGCAGGAGGAGCTTGATGAGAAGCTACTAGGAGTGGAAGCTCCACCCATATTTGTACCCAAAGTGCCTGCAGCAGAGATTGGTACGTCAATGGCGAGGCAGCGAGAAGGATACGGCGACTGCACTGCAACGCTTGTGCTGACATGGCATTGTCCGCTACATAGCAGAGGAGGAGGATCACGAGGCCGAACTGGAGAAGTTGCGCGCAGAAATGGCCATTTAAGTGTAGGCCGTTGTCTCCACCGCCACGTCATAAAGGTGCCAGGCCACATGCATATTTGTTCATAACAAAGCGCACGCTTGTTGCGTGTAGTAGCAGGCCAGTAGGCCACTGCGTGTTGCAAATATTAGATGACTACAAGGGAGACAGCGCGTGAATACGGAAAGCTATACGCCATCTGTTTCCATGCTCTGCTGCTCTGGTGTGGTGTCCGGTATGGATGTCTCTGCGCTGTCGGGAGATTGGATCATGCCCCTCCGTTCTTCGTCGACCATTCTGAGCTGCCGAATTTCCTGCGCCAGCACGGCTGCTCTATGTTGCTGATAACTATGGTCAAACTGCGAGCTCTGTACATACAAACACATGCACACATACACACGAATACTCCCTTACCTCAATGGCCAGCTCTTTGGCAAGATCAGCACGTTTCAGCTCGATCCAGCCACGATGGCGACGGCATGTCTTGCGCGAGTCTACGCAAGGCAACTGCTCATGCCGCTCCTTTTCC